CTGTATGGCGAGCTAGCTAGCTCTACGTTCGGCGAGCTAAGACGCTTGGCGCGAATGATCTCGATTCGTCGAGTTGACTTGTTTTCGTCGTAGAATCTCAACGGAAAGTCCGATTGAGACGAAACGAAAAGCGTCTCGATCAAGATTCGAGATGGAGATGTTTCGATCCATCGGGCTTGTCCAACTTGCCTAATGGTGAATCAGCGAGCACAGTCCCGATTCATCAAGCTATCTTGTTTTTTTGGTAAAACCTCAACGAAAACTTTGATTGAGACGAAACGAAAAGCAGTGTGATTATTGTTTAGAGTACGGTCCAGCTCACTATAGCTATGAGTTGGATTGTACGGACCCTCGGGAAAAAGTCAGTGCCTATGGAACGAGGTGGAAAGCCGGTCAGCTCGCCAAGATGGCAAGCTAGGTTGCTTGGCCAACTCACCGTCTTTTCGGCTGGATAGTATTGCCCGATTCTGCGAGTATCCTAAGGTTCTTCCGCGAGCAACCTAGGGTTTTGTCGCGAATAACCTAGGGTTTTTCCGCGAGTAACCTAGGGCTTTCTCCGCAAGCAACCTAGGGGTTTGCCGCGAATAACCTACGGTTTTTCCGCGAGACACCTAAGGCTTTCTCCGCGAGTAACCTAGGGTTTTTCCGCGAACAACCTAGGGTTTTTCCGTGAATAACCTACGGTTTTTCCGCGAGTCAACTAAGGATTTTTCCGCGAACAGCCTAGGGTTTTGCCGCGAATAACCTACGGTTTTTCCGCGAATCACCTAAGGCTTTCTCCGCGAGCAACCTAGGGTTTTTCCGCGAACTACCTAGGGTTTTGCCGCGAATCACCTAAGGCTTTCTCCGCGAGCAACCTAGGGTTTTTCCACGAACAACCTAGGGTTTTGCCGCGAATAACCTACGTTTTTTCGCGAGTCACCTAAGGATTTTTCCGCGAACAGCCTAGGGTTTTCCGCGAGTATCCTAGGATTTATTTCGCGAGTAAGTTACGGTTTGTTCCGCGGTTTCTGGGAGAGCAAGTTTTATTTTTCCGAAAGGTTCTCGGAAAACGTCTTTTGCTTAACGCGTGAGATTTGTCCAACTCGGAAATAAGAAAAACACTATGGGGTTTGATAGATTTTATCGTTGCCCTTAGTGATCTGAGATAGAAATCGTGAGCTTGTTTTGTTGCTCTTTCCGTGGCGAAGAGTCGCGATTAGGTTTTCGATTTTGTTGAGTACTACAGCGTTTGCGCGAGCGTTGGCTGTAGGAGCAGTCGCTGCTGTAGTTGTTTTACCAGCGTCTTTTTGCGAGTTGCGACTTTGTCTTTCATACATCCAGACATCATTTTGGTCAAGCGTTTTGCGGCTATGATCCTTCCTGTCGATCCTTCCTTTTCTTCTGCGGAAATCTTCTATTTATCTTCAAACTTGCCTTTTATCTTCCGTCTGCGAGTAGACCGTCAAAGCGTTATCGTATCTTCGGGTTTGATTTCGTTAACGTCGCGAGATGGGTTTTTATCGTGGTTTAGGACCTTTCGGGCCGTTTTACGATAAAAACGTTTTACAACTTTAACGAGACCGTTTCCGGATCTGATGCCGTTTTTTAATGATTCTCTCGACGTTTTTTACTAAAAACGCGTTTTTATAATCTTAACGAATAATCTCGGATAAATCTTATAGTTTAGGCGATGTTCGGTGTTTTGAATAACCGTTACCGTTTTATACGATTTCTTCGAGTTCTTTTCGGGAAAACGGAGTTTTACAGTTTTTATCGTAAAACTCGAACGATAGGACAGATCGAGATGAAACGGGAGACATTTCGACCGTGATTCGGAATACGATCGTGTCGGAGGACGTATGCCTTGAATCAAGGATATGGGAGATCGAGGCTCGGGATGGTCGGCTCGACGTACGGCGAGCTAGTTCAGCTTGGCTAGGTCGCCATATGGCGCACTAGGCGAAAAGAACCAGTGGGGCAAAGTCAGCACCTCTTAGTTCGCCCAATGGCGATCTAGCCGGGACGATATTAGTTCGCCCACCGGCGAACTAAGCCGAGCTGGCTTAGTTCGCCTGTAAGACCCGATCCGGCCGACTAGGCCGCGGTCGATGCCTCATGTCGCTCGGTCCATACCCTGACCGAACCTCTAAAAATTTTTCCCTTTATTTAAAACATCGCCCATAGGCGAGGGCTAACTCAGATCCTAGCTCAAGACTACCTTAGTCATTCCCTAGCTTAGATCCTTTCAACTTATGCACAGCGGAATAATATCAAATTAACCATTGGTCTAAAACCAATCTAACACTTTTCTGGTCACATCACCTCAGCTACTAGTCAGTATACTGAACTACCAGATAGCTCCAAGGTCGATGCTGAACCCAAACCAAGTCATACAAAATCCAAGGTTCCATTCACCTAACCATTCTATCTAGAACTAAGCAACGTTGCTAGATCATACCTTTGCCACATCCACGGAGCTTGTTAGCTCATCGGTCCAACTGAACTGTCTTAGCTAGCTCATCCTCCTTCTAGCTGACTTAGCTAGCGCATCCTCCTAGCTGACATAGCTAGCTCATCCAGCTAGCTAAGTTGCACCACTTCACTTGAGTTTCCATGTACTCTCATCCAGCTGATCGAGCTGCGAGGTAGCTTCGCCCAGCTTCCCGTATACTCGTCCAGCTCTCTTATGTCTGTACAAACTCTCCCCAAAGTACTTAGTCATTCAACCAACCATCCCCACAGACCAAGTAACCTTTGAGAAGTCTTCAAACGGTTAATTATATGCATCTGGCCTTTCTCGGCTCATGCATCATCCTTTGCCTCAACGGGTTATCAAATCAAGTCCATCTACTAGACTGACAATGCCCATCAGATCCTAAGTCACTCATCCAACCACCCCACATGACTCAGAGCTGATGAGTCTTCACTCTTTCATGATCGGCCATGGAACAACATTTCAACAAGTCCGATCAGCTTTGTCTTCTAAACCAATGCATCTCTTATAAAGTTAGAACAAACACCTTGATCCATCATCTATGAATCAGATCGTCTATTCTCAACCATGATCAGATCATACAGGGTCATCTTGGTATATAGACATGACCCCAATCTTATTAGTGTTTGACCCTCAAACCATTGCCTATGGTTAATGAACTCAACACTATTCAAGATAGACCATCACCCCTTATATCAAGCATTAACTCAACTAACAACCAATTGCCACTATGTGGGTCCACGCCCTACACAATGCAAGTGGTGTCTTTTTATCGATCGCACCTCTTCGGATCCGAACAATTCGTACCCTTTCAGACCCGAACCATTCGCATCCTTTCGGACCCGATCCCTTCGCATCCTTTCGGACCCGAACCATTCGCACCCTTTCGGACCCGAACCATTCGNGACCCGATCCCTTCGCATCCTTTCGGACCCGAACCATTCGCACCCTTTCGGACCCGAACCATTCGCACCCTTTCGGACCCGAACCATTCGCACCCTTTCGGACCCGAACCATTCGCACCCTTTCGGACCCGAACCATTCGCACCCTTTCGGACCCGAACCATTCGCACCCTTTCGGACCCGAACCATTCGCACCCTTTCTGTCACGACCCGTTCGCATCCCTTGGATCACGTCATGTTCGCATCCCTTGGATCCCGAGACGTTCACACCCCTTGGGTTGTGATACGTTCGCATCCCTTGGATCACGACACGTACGTACCTCTTGGATCACGATACGTTCGTACCTCTTAGGTCACGATACGTTCGTACCTCTTAGGTCACAATACGCTCGTACCTCTTAGGTCACAATACGTTCGTACCTCTAAGGTCACAATACGTTCGTACCTCTTAGGTCACGATACGTTCGTACCTCTTAGGTCACGATACGTTCGTACCTCTTAGGTCACGATACGTTTGTACCTCTTAGGTCACAATACGTTCGTACCTCTTAGGTCACGATACGTTCGTACCTCTTAGGTCACGTTACGCTAGTACCTCTTAGGTCACGATACGTTCGTACCTCTTAGGTCACAATACGCTCGTACCTCTTAGGTCACGATACACTCGTATCTTTTTGGTGACATGCACCCTTTGATCGATGGTAACCTTTGGTCAATGGTACCTCTTGGTCCTCGTACCATTTGCTACTTGCAACCCTTGGTATCTTGTACCTTTTGGTTACTCGCATCTTTTGGTAACTCACAACCTTTGGTAACTCATGACTCTTGGCAACTCGTACCCTTTGGATCACACTCCTTGATGGCACCCTTTGGTGGCATCCCTTGATGGCACCCTTTGGTGGAATCCCTAGATGGCACCCTTTGGTGGCATCCCTAGATGGCACCCTTTGGTGACATCCCTAGATGACACCCTTTGGTGGCATCCCTAGATGGCACCCTTTGGTGGCATCCCTATGGATCCTCGTTTATCATTGGGGGATCTCTTTAGGACGTGTGCCCATTGTCTAAGACTGAATCCATTGATCTCTGGTCGGCCCTCCTATATATAGGAAACCAAAGGCCATGTCCAAAAGGACACATCTCTTCCAAGCATCTCTTCGGACCAGATCTTGGCCATCGATTACAATCAACGGTCCAGATCGCATCTGTTGGATCTTGGAAGTTTCCAGACACATCACTACAAGAAATATGAATATTGATAGCAGTTCACGGTAGCACGAATTCACGAACTGCTATTAAAATTGACAATTTTGGACGGAAAATTTATGATAGCATTAAATCAACGCTACTCAGAACTTTCATTTAGCGGTAAATAAAAAATCCATTGTATAACCAATTTTTCTTTTCGGTAACACTTTGAAGCGCCAATACTTATCGAAATTTTGGTTTTGACACCAAAAATTATGGTTTCTGGGAAAATTGTTCTTTTTTTTCTAAGTCCTTTTCCATTCTCAATCCCTGACATCCATCTTCTTCTTCCTCCGTCAAATTCGAGAGTCTGGGTCTCACTTCTTCTCTCAAGAGACTAGTAGTTCAAACCTCGCTAAAGGAGAAACCCAAGATGTCAATAACTCTTCAAAGGTTGTTGCTGGAATCGGAAGCGTTTCCAAGTATGTTAGTCTCGTAACTCGCTGTACGTCCGCCGGTCTGGCTTCACCGGTGGCCCCTACGCCTCCTCCTCTGTCGCAACCTGATGATGTTAGTAAACGGTTTACTGTAAACCAGATGCTTCCCGGTCTGTTTCCACGGGTGTTAGACCCGTAACTCGCCGTATGTCCGCCGATCTAGGTTTTCCTGCCTCCGCGCCGTCTCGACGTCGCTCTGGTGAGAGTAATTGATTTCACTTACAATGGGTTTGCTCGAATTTAGTTTTAGGATATCTACTTTAAGTTGAATTGAATTTGCGCTCAAGTCTATGTTTTTGTGTATTGGATTCTTGATACATGAGTTGCTTTTAAGGAATTAAAAGGAAGCATCTTTAGATTCGTACTTTCTTTGTCACGTAAAATGCTATTGTGGAAGAACTAGTTGGGTTGGATGTCATCGTCATGTTCCTTAGCTGATGTTTTAAGAACTAGTTGCCTTAGGTGTTGGTAACAAGGAGTAAAAGCTCATCGTCCTCTAAGAAAGGGATTCATCTGCAAGTTCAACTGTTATTTTGATTATCATTACTTCCCTCGTCATGTTTTTTCTCGTCATATCATTATCATTAACCCACATTTGATTTTGATTATAGTGATGTGATTTTGTTTCAGGTTATCTCTTCCCTCGTCATATCATATCATTACTAATGTGATTTTGTTTCAGGTTATCTCTTCCTTGACTGCTTCTCTAAGGTTCGATGGTGCATTGAACGTGGATAAAATCTCCAAAGAGAAAGCCTTCCACGAGCAACTCTATGTTGCTGAGATCACCAACAATGAGGAACTTAATAAGTTGCCCTGTTTCATCAAGATCATTGACAAGGTTTGTGATTTGATTGATGTGAATTCTCTTAAGAAAACTGTAACTTCCTCTTATACATACATACAAACGTGACTGTGATAGTCCGAGTCGATCAAGTTGCTGTTGACAAATATTTTCTCTGATATTTACTCTGTTGCTGTTGTTAGATACATAATGTTTTCTCAACTTGTTAGACATCAAAATTCATCTTGCACATGGAATCACTTCTCTGCTGGCATATCTTTTTGAATTACATTTTCAGTATTTCAAGATAAACTCTAGCAAAGGATGAGCTCGTTAAAGTGTTGGTAAGTATACGCTTCACTCCCACTCTCTTGAGAATCATTCTCTTCTATGGAGTTTTTACTTTCAGTCATGGGTTCAGAATGATGCTAAGGTTGCTATTAGGTTTGTCTTTTGCATTATGTCAAACTGTACATCCTATACCATAATTTCATATAAGAATCTGTTGTTTGTGAGAAATCCTTACTTTACATCTCCAGTTACTAATAACCTTAGGAGTCATGACAATCTTCGTCATTGTATGTTTCTGATTATAGCTTGGAAATGTGTTACATGTGTCTTCTGGTTGCATTGACGATTAGGAGATGCAGTGGCGGGGTCGGAGATGCAGCGGCATTGAGACAGGTCCCAGACGGAGTGAGAAGCAGAACTCTATGCAAAGGAGCTTGTGAAGATTTTAATGGAGAAGTTATTGGGTGTGTATGTTTTGTCTCTGAGATTTGAGCTTGTGTCTTGTTTTTACTAGTATTAAGTTAGTTTAAATTGTTCTTTGATTTTTTTATGACTGGATTTGATACATGTTCTCTAATGGAAAACATAATGTAGTTCATGTGTTTCTAAAGTTTTATAAATTTAATGAATATAATTATGAGTCTAAAGTTTTCTGTTATATTAGTTTGGTTTTTATAGAAAGGGAATTGTAATTGATTATGTAGAGAAAGTTTTGTTTATTTGTGTTTTGTAATTTTGTATACGAATTTGTATGAAAAAAGTTTTGTTTATTTGTATTTTGTAATTTTTTTTGAAAAAAATAAAACCCTAAACCCTAAACATGTTTCTATACCCTAAACATTAACTNTGTTATATTAGTTTGGTTTTTATAGAAAGGGAATTGTAATTGATTATGTAGAGAAAGTTTTGTTTATTTGTGTTTTGTAATTTTGTATACGAATTTGTATGAAAAAAGTTTTGTTTATTTGTATTTTGTAATTTTTTTTGAAAAAAATAAAACCCTAAACCCTAAACATGTTTCTATACCCTAAACATTAACTTTAAAAGTTAAATCTTTTCATAATATAATTTAAATCTAAGACTTAAATTCAAAGTTTGATCATATTTAAAATCTAGTCTCAAATTTAAAATTTAAATTTCAAACACTAAATCTTAAATCTACACCCTAAATATAATACCCTAAACCCCAAACTTAAACCCTACATACAAAATCATAATAAATATAATCTTTTCAAATAATATAATTTCTAAACTAAAACATACTCCTTGTAGAAATTATAACTTTATTAATTTATTTTTTTCAAATATTTATCTTAAGTTTTAACTTAACCACAATTGTATTTCACAAATCTCAAACCATATACTTTAAACTTAATCACAACTACATAAACCAATAGTCAACAATTATAACATTAGTTAACAGATTTTTAAAACTAAACTTCTAAGTATTGATTATAAATCTTAATTTTATTTCAAACATCAATTAAAAAAATTATAAACCAAACTATCAAAAAATATTTAAAAGAATACAGCAAAGATAAAAACAAAAAGAAAAAAAAAACTATTAGCTAGCTATTAAAAAAAAAGAAAACTATGGACTAATCAAATCTTATCACGCGGATAACTTTCTGCACCGTAGGATACAATTAAATGAATGGTTGAGATGTTTTTTCTTTTCTCTTATCCTCCTCACAGATCTTTTTTCTCTCCATCTCTCTTCCATCGACAAAGCTCTCTTCCATCTTCTAAACTCTCTATTTTCAGTTTCATCTCCTCTATCTTTATCCTTAATCATCTCACACACACCTTTCTCTCTTTACTCTCCGAATCTCACTTACAAACATGATTTATCCCAAACAGACATGTTTATGTGTCTCAGTCGTAATCTCTCTCTCACATAGGAATATAGGATACATCTCAAAAAACACACAAACGTGTTTTTGTGTCTCGCGTCATATCTATGAAGCCGCTCTGGTAGACAAATAAAAGAGATTTGGCCGCTTCTTTTTATCTGTGTGATTCAGATATTCAAAGTATGGGTTTTTTTGTTCTTTTTATCTTCTGTTTTGATTATGTTGATTATGGATTCTGAGTCTAACCTCTATCTCTCCCTCAATCTCTCTATTTGAATCTAAGGGCGTTTGATAGAGGTGAACCACAGCGACAGAGGAACTGGGCGAAGCTTCTGTCCCTCAGTTGCAGAGAAGACATCATTAAACCTCGACGGATCTGAAGATGTGGCGTGGAGATGGCAAAGAAAGCTGCGGTGGTTGTGGAGGTGGATCCGAGCAAGAAGAAGAAGAGAAAAGTGGAGTAATAAAGAAGCAGAGACACAAGGTCGGAAAAGCAGAGATTGATGTAGTTGGTTGACGGCGGCAAAGCGTTGGTGCAGAGTTAGGGTTTATTTTTTAGGTTAAGCTGGTTTAGTTTTTTTGCTAAACCGGGTTTATGTGTAAATCAACCTTAGGTTAATTATGGTTTGGTTTAATGTTTGTAATTAGTTTTTGGTTTAATGTGTTTTTTAATTATGTGTATACTGATTTTAATCAATAAATAAATTTGAATTTTAATTTTATGAATTAACTTGAAATTTTATTTTAATTATTTTATTTAATTATTGTTAATTAATTAATTTTTGATAATTAATTTAATATTTTTTAATTATTTTATTTTTAATTATAGTATTATATATATATCATTATAAATTATGTTATGGCACATGAAAAATGCCATAATAAATCATATAATAACAAAATTATGGTGTTATTAAAATAGTTTAATATAGCGAAACATAAATGCTATAATATCTCTAGTTTTTATAGCACATGAAAATACGCTATAATAGAAGGGGGTCTACCATAGCTGGGGCTGTCACGGCGTTCTTCGAAACGCTACGAAAATCATATACTAGCGTTTTTCGGGTGCTACCAATACCAATATTTCTTGTAGTGCATCTAGGCACGTCCGTCCACTTCTAGACACATCAGACCCAAGCCCAAACTAGTTAACAAGCCCATGGCCCGACCACAACAGCCCATCGGCCCATAGCCAGCCCTGGCCTACCAACCAGCCCGGTAACTGCCCAGACTTGACCCAACGGCCCAAAACCCAAACACTCAGTCCAGATAAGATGAGCTGATCCCTAGCTGGTCCAGCTGAGTGAGCTAGTAGTCCAGATCAGGGAGCTGGCACACTCTACTTGAGCTCCAACTGAGCTCTGTCCAGCTGGTTGAGCTTCTTGCTCGCATCACCCAGCTGTGATACACTTCGTCCAGCTTGATATCTTCATCTTGTACAATCTTTCTAAGTCCCTTGGTCTATTCATAGACCTAGACTTAGTCTTCCTTTGCTCCATTCTGATCATTCACTTAATCGAGCTTGGCCACGATCATTTCTCAGGATCGGGGACATGACATCGCCCGTGGGCGAACTAGTCGGGACGGGACTAGTTCGCTCCCGGCGAACTAAGCCAGGCCGGCTTAGTTTGCTGGTGGGCGAACTATTCAAGTGGGACTAGTTCGCCCACCGGCGAACTAAGCCTGCTTGGCTTAGTTCGCTGGTGGGCGAACTAGTCATGGGCCTCCTAGTTCGCCGGTGGGCGAACTAGTTGCGACTAATTCGCGTTTTACGGCTGTTTCGGTTTTTCGCGGTTTTGTAAAACGATCTTCGAGTTTAATAAAACGGCTTCTCGAGTTTTATGTAACGATCTTCGAGTTTTATAAAACGACTTCTGGAGTTTTATAAAATGATCTTCGAGTTTTATAAAACGGCTTCTCGAGTTTTATAAAATTATCTTCGAGTTTTATAAAACAGCTTCTCGAGTTTTATAAAACGATCTTCGAGTTTTATAAAACGGCTTCTCGAGTTTTATAAAACGATCTTCGAGTTTTATAAAACGGCTTCTCGAGTTTTATAAAAAGATCTTCTAGTTTTATAAAACGGCTTCTCGAGTTTTATAAAATGATCTTCGAGTTTTATAAAACGATCTTCGAGTTTTATAAAACGATCTTCGAGTTTTATAAAACGGCTTCTCGAGTTTTATAAAACGATTTTCGAGTTTTATAAAACGATTTTCGAGTTTTATAAAACGGCTTCTCGAGTTTTATAAAAAGATCTTCGAGTTTGATAAAACGGCTTCTTGAGTTTTATAAAACGATCTTCGAGTTTTATAAAACGGCTTCTCGAGTTTTATAAAATGATCCTCGAGTTTTATAAAACGATTCTCGAGTTTTATAGAACAATTCTTCGAGTTTTATAAAACGATTCTCGAGTTTTATAAAACGAATCTTTGAGTTTTATAAAACGATCCTCGAGTTTTATAAAACGATTCTCAAGTTTTATAAAACAATCCTCGGGTTTTATAAAACGATTCTCGAGTTTTATAAAACGGTCCTAGAGTTTTATAAAACGATCCTCGAGTTTTATAAAATGATTCTTCGGGTTTTACAAAACGATTCCTTCTATATTTCTGCGGGGAGTTTCAGCCGTTGATTCCGTCGTACCGATTTTGACCCCAACAATATCCTTCGATTTATGCATCAGATCATCGGTCGATTCCTTGGTTAACATATCGCTCGATGTGTGTATTACGTCATCGGTCGATGCTTAGCCAAAATCTGTCTTGTCCATCTTGAGTTCCCTGTGATAGCAGAGAAAGAGGAAAAAGAATTAAATAAACGAAAATAAAATGTAGACTATATTCTAAACTAAATCTGATGGTAATAAGAAAGAGTCCCCGGCAACGGCGTCAGATTTGATATCACTCAAATTACCCTAGGAGTGAATTACTCTCATCAAAAGAGGTTCAATTGTAGTACTTAGGGATCGAATCCACAGAGACTCTAGGCTTACACAACAGATTATTTAGTTTTCGAAATAAATCTAGATAGCAAATATTAAACAATAACTTAAAAGGTAACCAAGCGATTGCTTGATTGATTGATTTGTTTGTTAAGAGGAAAGAAGATAGTTAGAATTAGGTATTTTCTCAGGTGTGACAGACATGCAAGTTATAAAGGGTTTTTATTATTCATAGTTCTGAATTCAAACTCTTAAGGATTTGAAGAGTTAACTCTTACTGGATCTCGGGCCAAGAACTATCGTTCGATGACCTTGAGTAAATATCGATCGATAGTTCGATAGAAATATCGATCGTTGACGTTATGCTATATCGGTCGACAAGACGGTTATCTCGTCGATCGATATTGCATCCAGCGAGTTCTAATAATAGGTTTGAAAGGGTTCTCTAGTCTTCAATAAATAACTTAGAATCTAGGTAATTGCTAAGTTCTCACTTATCCAAACTGATCCTAAAATCAGAGGTAAGGGTGATCAATCCTTAACACTAGTATTTATGATGGCTAGATTTAGAACTATATTTTAAACACCCTAATAATGGTTACTTTAATGCATGAGTCAACCCTAATGAGAAACCTAAATCTAACAAGAGAGACTACTCAAACATATTTATGAGAGACAAAATCATAAAGGTT